AACAGTGAGAGTTTTACTTCTTCTTTTCCTATCTGAATTCCTTTTATTTCTTTTTCTGCTCTGATTGCTGTGGCCAAAACTTCCAAAACTATGTTGAATAGCAGTGGTGAGAGTGGGCACCCTTGTCTTGTTCCTGACTTTAAGGGAAATGCTTTCAATTTTTCACCATTGAGGATAATGTTTGCTGTGGGTTTATCATATATAGCTTTTATTATGTTGAGGTATGTTCCTTCTATGCCTGCTTTCTGGAGAGTTTTTATCATAAATGGATGCTGAATTTTGTCAAAGGCTTTTTCTGCATCTATTGAGATAATCATATGGTTTTTATCTTTCAGTTTGTTAATGTGGTGTATTACATTGATTGATTTTCGGATGTTAAAGAATCCTTGCATTCCTGGGGTAAAGCCCACTTGGTCATGATGTATGATCTTTTTAATATGTTGTTGGATTCTGTTTGCTAGAATTTTGTTAAGGATTTTTGCATCTATGTTCACCAGTGATACTGGCCTGTAGTCCTACTCTTTGTGACCCCATGGAGTGTAGCCCACCAGACTCCTCTGTCCATGGAATCCTGTTCCAATTCTACTCCAGGGTAATTAACTAATATAAATATGTGTACACTGAGACACATGTGCAAGAATATTCAAAGCAGTATTACCTGTAACAGCAAAAACCTGGAAACATCCTAAATGTCTGTTAATAGTAATAGATAAATACATTCAGTATATTTACATAATTTGATATTAAACAGCATTATAAATAAACTCAACACAAATGAATCTCACAACAGTGCTGAATAACAGAAGTCAGAAAAAATACCTACTACAGAATTAATTCAAAGTTCAAAAAATAGGTATAACTTACTTCCTTTGACAGATAAAATTACCATATATCCGTAAATGGAACACTGCTCCTGCTGCTGCTGCTAAGTCGCTTCAGTCATGTCCGACTCTGTGCGACCCCATAGACAGCAGCCCACCAGGCTCCACTGTCCCTGGGATTCTCTAGGCAAGAACACTGGAGTGGGTTACCATTTCCTTCTCCAATGCATGAAAAGTGAAAAGTGAAAGTAAAGTCGCTCAGTCATGTCTGACTCTTCGCAACCCCATGGACTACAGCCTACCAGGCTCCTCCGTCCATGGGATTTTCCAGGCAAGAGTACTGGAGTGGGTTGCCATCGCCTTCTCCAAAATGGAACACTACTCAATAGCAAAGAATAAATTAGTGATGCATGCAACAACATGGACCAATCTCAAAATAATTATACTGAGTGAAAGCACGGGACAGCTAAGTATATCTTGCATGATTCCATTTAGATGAAATACTAGAAAATGCAAATTAACCTAAGTATCAAAATCAAACTAGTATTAGCTTATGGATGGGGGGTGGGGAGAGGAGGAAGGAATTACCAAGGAAAGATAAATATGTTCACTATCTTGATTGTGGTGATGGTCATGAGTGTATGTATATGCCAAAATGTATTGAACTCTATGCTTTAAATATATGTAATATATTGTACGTCAATTATACCTCATTAAAGCCACAAGTAGGGAGGGAGGAAGAGAGGGAAGAAAGAAAGGAGCAAAGGAGAAACGAAAGAGAAAGGAAGCAAACATGCAAGAGGGGAGGAAAGAATTACCAGGGTATGAGAGAAAGAAAGTCTCAACGATTAGCTTAAGAAGTTATTTAACCTTTCTGGGCCCCAGGTGTTTTATCTATAAAATGAGACTTAGAGTTTCGACAGTTAAATGAGACAGTGTATGCAAATCCTTGGGCTTCCTAGGTGGCACTAGAGGTAAAGAACTCACCTGCCAGTGCAGGAGATGTAAGAAAGGCAGGTTCAATCCCTGGGTCGGGAAGATCTCTGGAGGAGGGCATAGCAACATACTCCAGTATTCTTGCTGGGAGAACCCCATGGACAGAGGAACCTGGCAGGCTTGCAAAGACCCTATTAGTACATAGGGTCACAAACATTCAAACACGACTGAAGTGACTTAGCGCACACACACACACTCACACACAAATTCTTAGTTGCACAGCGTATGTTTGTGTGTATATCTTTTCTTCTTTTCTTTCTCATTCACTCCTTCAAGAAATATGAGTATCCAATTGCTTCAGGCTCTATGCTAGGCACTGGGATACAACAGAATATTGTATACTGTTTCCCTTATAGAAGAACATAGAAACAAATAACAAAAATAAGAAATTGCAACATTTTATAAATACTACAAACAGATATATGATCTTGAGAGAGATTATAAAAGGTGATTTTGACCTAGTCAAAGAGATTAGGAAAGGAATCTCTGGAAAGGTGAGTATTAATACATTGTTGACCTCTAAGGTCAGCACGTACAAATAAAAGACTAAGCATGTAAAAAACACATGAAAAGATGCTCAACATCACTCATTATCAGAGAAATGCAAATCAAAACCACAATGAGGTACCATTACACACCAGTCAGGATGGCTGCTATCCAAAAGTCTACAAGCAATAAATGCTGGAGAGGGTGTGGAGAAAAGGGAACCCTCTTACACTGTTGGTGGGAATGCAACCTAGTACAGCCACTATGGAAAACAGTGTGGAGATTTCTTAAAAAACCGGAAATAGAACTGCCATATGACCCAGCAATCCCACTTCTGGGCATACACACTGAGGAAACCAGATCTGAAAGAGACACGTGCACCCCAATGTTCATCGCAGCACTGTTTATAATAGCCAGGACATGGAAGCAACCTAGATGCCCATCAGCAGACGAATGGACAAGGAAGCTGTGGTACATATACACCATGGAATATTACTCAGCCATTAAAAAGAATTCATTTGAATCAGTTCTAATGAGATGAATGAAACTGGAGCCCATTATACAGAGCGAAGTAAGCCAGAAAGATAAAGACCATTACAGTATACTAACACATATATATAGAATTTAGAAAGATGGTAACAATAACCCTATATGCAAAACAGAAAAAGAGACACAGATGTATAGAACAGACTTTTGGACTCTGTGGGAGAAGGCGAGGGTCGGATGTTTCAAGAGAACAGCATCGAAACATGTATATTATCTAGGGTGAAACAGATCACCAGCCCAGGTTGGATGCATGAGACAAGTGCTCGGGCCTGGTGCACTGGGAAGACCCAGAGGGATCGGGGGGAGAGGGAGGTGGGAGGGGGGACCGGGATGGGGAATACATGTAAATCCATGGCTGATTCATGTCAATGTATGACAAAACCCACTACAATATTGTGAGGTAATTAGCCTCCAACTAATAAAAAAATAAAAAAGACTAAGCATGTATAAAACTTCGACTGATAAAAGCCTGTCAATAAAATAGCCAATGTTTCTAGAGAGGAAAAAGGAATCTAAATAAACATGTCTGGTGTGAGCTAAAGTTTGAAAGGCAATTTGGGGTCATACCACATAGGCCTCTTAAGAGCAATCAGAAGCCTCTGAAGTGGTTTCAACAGGAGAAGTAACAAACTGAATTTTGAAAGAGCTCACTTTGAACTTTCAAACTGTAGTTTGAAAAAGAAACCTCCAATTGCAGTACAGAGAATAAACTGCAGGAAAATAGGACAGTTCTAATAGATAGAGGACAGTTAGGCACTACTGCTACAGTCCAGGCAACAATAATGACAGCTTGGATCAGGACAGTGCTGTTAGAAATTCATTCTATCAAAAGATGTTTCCTGAGGGCCTACCAAGGGCCAAGCTCTATCCTAACTGCAAGATGATGAATAAGCAAAACAGAAAAAAAAAAAAAACCCTGTTCTTGTGGGATTTATATTCTAGTGGGGAAAGACAGACTAAATAAGTAAAATATCACTCATATCAGGTGGCTGTTAAGTGCTATGGAGAAAAATAATGTAGCAGAGGTCAAGGGGAAGGACGTATTTTCTCAGTGCTCACAGAAACATTCACGGGTCAGATTCTGAACAAAGCAGGATGACCCACGAGTCCTGGACTTCTTATGGTAACTGACATAAACCGCACTAAAAGGCATAATTACAATCGCCCTGTTGGTCTCAAGGTAGATAATTACAGCAGTGACGTAAGTGCTGGTCGAGAAGGAGGCTAGAGGGTGGGCCAGAGATGCAGAGTCCCACAGCCTCGCCTTGACTCTTCCCAGTGATGGAAAGTGTACCAGTAAGGACAGCTTTATCCACAGCACTTAGGGCTTATGGCCCCCCTTTCAACTGCAGCAGAAAGGTGGAAGTCAAAGAGGATTTGTCTAATGTTAAATACTTAGCTCCCCAATTCCGACCAGTTGATAAACTCCAAGAAGGCAGAAGCTGAATCCTTATCACCACATTCCCCAAATCCACACAAACGCCTGGCACACAGCAGATGTGGGATATACATGGAAAGAATAAATGCATTCATTGTATCTAAAGGCAACATATCCCTATATTAGAAGGAAAACATTTAAAATGTGTTCACACAGAAATTACCAAGTGGGACGAGCCACAAAATAGCCTTAATCAAATTAAATTATGCTTTTACTGATAGTTTTTAATTGACTATTATAGTCTAAGAGTATTAAAGAAAACTATGTTTTGTAAATTTGCACAATTTAAAAACACATAATTAAGGATTTTTAAAAATAAAACTCATAAAACTATATAGCTAAATGACAAATTCAGAAAACTTAAAGTCTTTTCAAGTTATTTTAGTATGCTTAATGACATACTTAAAGAAACAGTAATTCTTACCCTACAAAATTCCTCAGTTTTATCACCTTGCTAGCATATTCAATAAAAAACATATAGATAATATTCTCAAGCAGTGATCTGCAAACCAGATCAATGCCACTGAGAGCTAAGTATAGCCTGCAGTGTATAGATGACAGAGAACCACGACTTTAAAGTAGAAGTAGAGTATGCTTTTTAAAGAGTAATTGATTACTTTTATTCAAATCCAACTAAAAATTTTCTCAATTATTCATATTCTGAAATGTTTCTCGATAATGAATTATTAAATGACTTATTAAAAAATACATACCTTTCTCTTACAAAATCTGCTAGTTCTTTTGTCGATATCTGTCCATGTTTCATATTATGGTAAAGGACATCAAAGCCACTATTTTTTTCCCCCTAAAATTTAAAAAGATTTTTAGTTTAACAAAAGAGATCAAAACTACTTAAGCATAACTAACATGCAATTCCAATGTTCAAATGAGCTGTTTTCCTTAAGTTAAGCATTGCTCCCCACTGCATAATTTTAAACTATCAAAGGAATGCTATAGGCTTTGATAAAGTGTACAATATATTATATACACATATAGTCACAACACACATATACACACTCTACAATCAGTTATAGATATAATCACTATTAAGGATATATTAATGAAACACATTTGAAATTAAAAAAAAAAAAAACGCAGTGTAATTTAGGACTTTATTTTCTTGAGGTCCAAAATAACTGCAGATGGTGACTGCAGCCATGAAATTAAAAGATGCTTGCTCCTTGGAAGAAAAGCTATGACTAACCTAGACAGCATATTGAAAAGCAGAGACAGTATTTTGCTGACAGAGGTCCACACAGTCAAAGCAATGGTTCTTCCAGTAGTTGTGTATGGATGTGAGAGTTGGACCATAAAAAAACCTGCGTACTGAAGAATTGATGCTTTTGAATTGTGGTGCTGGAGAAGACTCTTGAGAGTCCCTTGGACTCAAACCAGTCAATCCTAAAGGAAATCAATCCTGAATATTCATTGGAAGGACTGATGATGAAGCTGAAGCTCCAATACTTTTGCCACCTGATGCTGACACATTAGAAAAGACCCTGGTGCTGGGAAAGACTGAAGGCAGGAGGAGAAGGGGATGACAGAGGATGAGATGGTTGGATGGCATCACCGACTCAATGGGCATGAGTTTGAACAAGGTCTGGGAGTTGGTGATGGACAGGGAAGCCTGGCATGCTGTAGTGCATGGGGTTGAAAAGAGTTGGACACACTGAGTGATAGAATTGAACTGAACTGAATTTAGGAAAGATAAACATGGACCATTACCAAATCCCATGTCAATCCCTTTAACCTATATTGAGGGATTCCTGATTATTTAACTCACAGTGTATACTTTAAAATAACTAACTCCTGATTTTTGAGTCAAAACAGCATTTACTAATCACATAAGCACTAAACACTACAAAACACTTTATAATCGCTAATATAAGTCTTTCAGTAAACTTAACTTGAGATATGAGACAGAAGGTAAAATTTTAATAGAAGAGCAGTAACAGACTACTGGCTATGTGTTAGTCGCTCAGTTGTGTCCGACTCTTTGCAACCCAATGACCTCAACTAATGGAAAATTAACAGAAACAGACTACTATACAACCCTAGAAAATCTTAAAGCCATTTAATCCAATACAAAGTTAAATTAGCAAGTAATAACAAAGAAAACATTAGAAACAGAAATTTTATGGGTGAAATGAAAGAATATAAACTAAGTTCAACAACTCTTTACAATCAGCAGTTTTAGTTTTTATTTAGTGATAATAAGAAGAACTGAACATATCTGTTGGAAATAGAAAGCAATGCCAAAAGCAAGTGTTATGCAATCTGAGACTTCGTTTTCCACAGTTGACCAAAAACAGGAAACATATTATAAAAACTTCCAGCTTTGTTGAAATGATTCCTAATAAACCTGTCAACCAGCAGAGCAAGTAATCAGACTGTGACACATATAAAAAATTAAAATATATGTAATGAAATAATACAAATAATATCCCTAGCATTTTGAACATCTGTTTCCATTTTATCAAGGATATAAGACTACAGTCTCCTATAAATCTAAACACATCCATTTTTGTTTCTATAATTTTTCACGTTTCACATAAATTATGATCTAACTTTAGTTCTTTACTTTCTATGGATTTTTCATGCAAATTTATTCCAGCCAAAATAATATTCTCTGAGGTAACCATTATCTCTAGTCTATAGCAAGCAAAAATAACAACATAAAGATTAGTAAATAAAATTACAGACAGAATAATCAGGGACCTGAAATCTCCAAGGGATTTATTCCATTACTTGAATATACTGCAGAAACTACAAATAATTAAACTATCCACCAACTCCCATAATACAGTCATGAACCCTGAAACAAAAACCAATTTGAAATCTAAAATCATAAAATCCATAGTCTGGAGCTCTCTGTCCCCAAAATTCTTCCCTGACAACTACCAGTTTTCACTGGCACATAATTCTAAGTCAGATTCCCAATGTGTGTTATGCATATTCATTATGCATATTCAAATTAAAAATAAGCTGGTGCTATGCTGTGTTCAGTCGTGTCCAACTCTTTGCAACCTAGGGACCGCCAGGCTCCTCTGCCCACAGGACTCTCCAGGCAAGAATACTGGAGTGGGTTGCCTTGCTCTCCTTCAGGGGATCTTCCCGACCCAGGAATCAACCCATATCTCTGGTGTCTCTTGCATTGCAGGCAGGTTCTTTACCCACTGAGCCACCTGGGAAGCCCACTCATTCATTTGATGCTCTAAAAAATGTAAAAACGCTGGATTCTAGGCACTGTTTTCTTAATTTCACAAACCTGTTAACACAAATATTTACTGGATCATTAACTTTTCTTTGGCAAAACTAAGCAAAAATTTTAATACTTCAAATGGCTCTCTCTCCATACACACACACACACAGACAAATATACACGTATCTTTAAGAAAAATGTTCAAAGGTAAGTACCAACAAAGAACCCAAGCCTATTATTACCTTATCAAAACTTTCTTTATGGCTTTTGACAAGAGATGACAATGTATTAAGTACACACACGTCTGTACACAGGTGAGACATACAGGAGACAGAGCACTAGAGCTCAGGTCTAGACACATTTGGCTGCAGTATCTGCACCCGAAAAAAACTGGAAATTCTGGGGAGATGGGGAAGACTACTCTTGAAACTAGCAATCCTAACTCAATTCTGTCACCATTTGAGATTAACCAGTTTTCTTAACACTACAAGTACCTCCATGCAAGTTCTAATTAACCTTTTAATACCTGCCAGTGTTTTTATTCTAATTCAAAGACAAGTAAAATAACAGGAGATATTTCTGAATTACATATCCATTTTATCATCTTAGACCTTGAAGTGGATATGTTCCTATCATTTCCTTTAAATTAATTTTTCTTCTATATTGTGGTATAATTGACTTACAATGTTGTGTTAGTTTCAGGTGTATAGCAAAGTGATTCAGTCACACATACACATTCTTTTTCCGATTATTTTCCCATATAGGTTATTCTAGAATACTGAATATAGTTCCCCGTGCTATACAGTAGGTTCTTGTTGATTATTTTATAGGTAGTAGTATGTACAGGTTAATCCCAAACTCCTAATTTATCCCCATCCAGCACCGTTTCCCTTTGGTAATAAGTTTTTTTCGACACACAAAAAAAGTTATCTTAACATATTATGTTAACTCAAGCAAGCAGAGCTTGCTTTTACTTAGCTAACTACAAATACATAAATGTACAAGCAAATAGACAACAGTTTTACTATCAAGTAGAATTATAACTAAAGGTGTTTTCTAGTCTTCAGTATTTCACTAAAACTGCAAATTTTCATGCCCTTTGTCCAGCAATTCCACAGTTAGAAATCTATACCGCAAAAACACACATACAAAGATAAATGTGGAAAAATATTCACTGCAGTACTGCTTATAATTGTGAAAAAACAGAACTCAAAAACATCCATTAACATTATTGGTTAAACAAATGACAGCATCTCCTACAATGAAATATAGTGTTTTTTAATTGCATTAAAATCTTGCAGTCGAATTTTAAGTATTAATCTCTGCAATCTGCCCAGATATACATATTATCAGTGAGAAAAAAAAAGCATGATGCAATTATTCATAAAAGCCAAAAATAATCTAATGTTGGGAATAACCTAAATGTCTCAAATTGATGAATGGAGAGACAAATGAGGTAGATTCACACAATGGAATACGAATTAGCAATAAAAAGTAACAAACACTGACACATAAGACTTCATGGATTAACCTCATAAACACTTTACTAAGTGAAAGCCAGACACAACAGACTATATATTGTATGATTCTGTTTATACAAAATTACAGAACAAGCAAATCTACAGAGTTGAGGGCAGAAAAGAGCATTAACTGTTAAGTGGGCATAATCTAATTACTGGGAGGATAAACATGTTCTAAAATTGATAATGGCTGCACCATTCAGTACGGAGAAGGCAATGGCACCCCACTCCAGCACTCTTGCCTGGAAAGTCCCATGGACGGAGGGGCTTGGTGGGCTGCAGTCCATGGGGTGCGAAGAGTCGGACACGACTGAGCAATTTCACTTTCATTTTTCACTTTCATGCATTGGAGAAGGAAATGGCAACCCACTCCAGTGTTCTTGCCTGGAGAATCCCAGGGACAGTGGAGCCTGGTGGGCTGCCGCCTATGGGGTCGCACAGAGTTGGACACCACTGAAGTGACCTTAGCAGCAGCAGCAGCACCATTCAGTAAAGTTACTAAAAGTCAATGAATTGCACACATATATTGGGTAGATTTTATGATATATAAAATATGCTCCAATAAAACTTCTTTTAAAAAAGCAAGGTGTAAAACAGTACATGTAGAATTTTATTTTCATTGAAAAAAATAACAGGTTGCACGCATGCATGGTCAGTCACTAAATCGTGTGTGACTCTTTGCAACCCTATGGACTGTAGCCCGCCAGACTCCTCTGTTCTTGGATTTCCCAGGCATGAATACTGGAGTGAGTTGCCATTTACTCCTCCAGGGAATCTTCCTGAACCATGGATTGAACCCAGATCTCCTGCACTGGCAGCAGATTCTTCACCACTGAGCCACCCAGGAAGCCCAACAGGCTGCATATATGCATACAAAGAGAATCTAAACTATTAACAGCAAATTATTTCTGGAAACTGGAATAATGAGCACAGATAACTTTCTAATAAACAAGTCTTTAATACAGAAGCAGTAGAGTTAAAAGCTATGAAGATAAGCAGTTTTAAAATGCAATTTTCTCCCAAGTATGTTACAACTGTTGATATAAAATCTTGATTACCAACAGCCAATTTTTTTTCTTCTTC